GTGGGGGGGTGTGGGTGGGGGGGGGGGTGTTTATATGACACCCTTTTTTAACTAAAAAACGGAAAACTTTGTATGCGTTTTTGCCGTTCATTTACAGAACAGCAAACAACAGGTTTCACAGTGCAAGTGTGTTATTGTCTTTATTGCCGTTATTGTCTTTGTGCAAACTACCAAAATGTGAAAATGATAATGTCATGCGCATGTGTATTACATGTTCAGTGTGCAGACGCATAGTGTTTTTTTCTTTTTTTAATGACGTCACCAATTACTGGCCTGGCATGCATTATATAGTGTTTTTAGTTATTTTCACAGATCAGTGTGAATGTGGATTGTTATGACAATGTTGTCTGTATAAGCAACTTTTAAAGAGTTCAAGTTAAAGACTTTTTTTTACTACATTGTTATAGTGTAAGCATACCATTACAGTTGTTGTCATGTAAACTTCCCTTCAAATGTCCACCCTGTTACACATTGCAAAGTAAAAATGCCGTCTAACAGAATAAAAGTCCTAGACCACACGCAGAATATTTGGTCAGGATTTTGTTATACTATCCTGAGCTTGACCAGTGTGTTTTTCAGATAACATTTTTTTTTTCAAGCAAACCTGCTCAGTCCAAAATTCACTAAACTGTAGGAATGACCCTGATGTTAAATAAAGATAACAGTTAGTTTGGTTGAAGTCCCCCTGCAGTCACTAATTTAGTCGCTTAAAACTCATCTTTGATAATCATAATGGCATTTTTCCACCCCATAAAAATAATTTCTTTGTGTCTTGAATATGGCTTACACCTTTACCTCATTTAGTATACGTTGATCCATGAATATGTTAACTAGTCCCTGCCTCCACTCAATCACACCAACTCAGACTGAAGTTGCAAAAGCTACACAATAGCAAGTGGCAATACTGAATAAATGGATATCGGAGAGTGAATCTATGAGTAAATCTATTCAAATTCTGAATAGATTATAGCCTACAAAGCATGCAAAGTGCGCTCCTCTTATAATCACTAAAAAGTCACTTATCTTAGTTCAACACGATCTCACAAAGTTCTGTTATAATCAGTGAAGGTCTGCACTGACTGCACAAACTCTGGTGTTTTGACTGGTGAGTGGATTCTAACTTAAACACCAATTGCATTTCATGATATGCCTGTGATTGGCTACATTGTTAAACGCTGCAAAAATACATTGTAAATAGAAACCTATGTGAAGATAGAAATATAAAAAGTCCCACCCCGCAATTGGCGGGATTGATTACATGCTTGTGACGGTAGGAAACAGGAGCAGTTTCAAACCGCATCTTTAGTACACTGCAGTTTTTAGGAGAAAATGCTCAGCAATAGTGTTAACTGAGGAATTTTCATGTGGCTTTAAGCATATTAAGAAACCAGACAGATATGTAAACAACATTAAAAACTTGATTTTCACCACAGGGGGTCTTTAAATTTAACATTGTGCTGGGTATCATAACATCCTTGGTTGTCACTCACATTAATAACCAAACTGCTTAGAATTAAGCACGCAAATGAAGAGTGACAAGTTTAGGAAGATGCTCTCATTACCAACCTCCGTGTTAAAACACAGTCAGACTCTCTCTCACACACACACACACTCGCATACTTGTCTCATTGCATTATATACCCACAGCATGTCAATTGACGGTCAGAGCTGCTTCCAGGCCTACCATAGACCGTGTGTGATTGAATAGCCCTACACATGCCTGCTTGCACAGTGAGAGCACTTACAGATGATTGGATTATTGCCAGACGTGCCATGACTTCCATAGAAATGTGACCTCTCTGTGTAAGAGGCTGGTAATTGTGTTATTATGTATATAATATCCTGTAAGCCCAATGATATTACAACGAGAGAGTGATTTAGTGCGACGGTCCGTCACAAAAGTCATCTCACAGAGCTCACACCTGTGTGTGTGGGTAGAATGTTTACAATTTAATCTAGAGTTCTTACCCTGTCATTTCAGATGTTTTTCCCATCCATTCCCTTCTCTGCCAGGTCCATTCAGTAAATGCTAAATGTGCCACCAAGGTCAAATTCAGATGACTTACACGACGCTCATACGGATCCATCTCTATATTGACATAAAAATTGTTGCTGTTTTTCTAATGTGCGGCTATGTCAATAGCATTGGTGCAATGGGAGCAAGTGTGCTTTGTGAGGCTTGAGTCTGAGCAGGCACTGATAAGCCTGTCTTAAAACGAAACCCTCAACCGCAATGTGCTCTTAATTGTTACGTGCACTTCCAAGACTCTATCGCTGCTGCGCAGAATGGAAGGTCTCCATGTTTACAGCAGCAGACGGGATATCTGCTCTATTTAGTCGCTCTCTATCAGGAAAGCCAGCTGCTCACAGGTCTCTCACAACCTCTGAACATCTACAACTGTTAACCCTGCAACTGTTTCTCATTTATGTCCCAGAGCAATTAGCTACTAATTTCCTCAGGTTTTGTGAGTGCTTGCAGATGCTTAGTTTGAGATAAACAATGCATTTTGCATTGACTTGGTTAATAGCTTGGGAATAGCTCCCAAAAATAACATTTGTGCCATGATTTAGTCAATAATTCAATAATTATTCACCCTCATTCCACATCTGTGTAAGTTTCTATAAGGTTTTTCTATAAGGAAATGTTTAGCAGAATGTTCACACTGCTCTTTCTTTTTAAAACATACACTAACCTTGGATATCCCACCTCAAAATAAATAAATAAATAATTAAACCTAAAGGAATATTTCATATGTAATACAAGTTAAGCTCAATCGACAATATTTGTGGCTTGCATCTCCTTTTCTTTAAAATAAATGATTGAAAAATAAACTTGAAGCTTATAATTTTATAAAAGCATTTACATTAATTCTTCTGTTAAAAACACCAGCTGTACATTTGTTCTTGTCTTTTACATCTGTTTTAAGATTTTAGGCTTAATGTCATGGCAACATAGTTAGAAATATATTAGGCATAATAAAAGTTTAGCAAATGCTTAGACAATTACGCTGCTTACAAAGAAACAATGGAATGAAATTAATATCAAAATAAGAGTCTTTGAACAAAACTAGTCATACCAATGCTGCTGTAACAGTGAGTATTTTATAAATTACTGTATGTAAATTGGCCCTATTTACTACCATTGTAAGTTACCTCACTGTAAAACAGATTCTTGCAATGCACAATCACATAATCACCATTATACCACAAGTGTTGCATATACACAGTATATAGACACAGGTCATATCAGTGATTCCAAATGTTGGTGCAATGTTTAAAAGAGATTTGAAAGCTATAATGGAGACCGAGGTTTTGGAATGTGTGCAGCATGAACATTAAGCTAAACAACTTTTATTGGTGGTTTGGAAATTTTCATTTTTGGGGTAAACTGTTCCTTTGAGGAACTGTTTTTAATCCCACAATGATTGGTTTCTCTCTTTCTGCAGAGGTGCGTGACATCGAGTTGAATCTGAACTTGAGGAGAACGGTGAACTCGATGCAGATGCCGAAAGTGGAATACAGAGAGATAAACATAGAGGATTACAGTATGTTATCTAAATTGTGTTGGTGTTTAAGAAGGATATTAATATAATAGAGATGCAGATGAATGTCTTTGATTGTCATACACAGGCCTCAGCATGCAGATACTAAAACCTGCAGGCTTCATAGACACCTTACACTACCCACTTCTGCTCCTTGTGTGAGTACATATCAATATCTGCAACATTTTCTTCATTAATATGTCAGTGTTCCAAATAGTGTCTCTGAACTCCCTCATGAATCACCATCTGGGTTGGATCACTCATTAAAAAGAGGCATAATCTACACTTCTCTTGCATGCTATTATTTCCCAGAGTCCTACTTATAATGTTAGTCAAGGTTTCTTGCACCCAAAACCTAATTTAGTTGTTAATTTACTCTATTTTCCACATTTTTTTGCTGCTGAAAGATTTATATAAGTAAATTAATCTCGCATAATTGCCAATATATACACCAGTATTTGTCTATTTTTAGAATAGAACTGTGCCAGATTGATAAATTAATTAGTCCTTTTTTGTTGTAAATATTAAATTAATGTAATATAAAAATAAAAGTAAAAAAATGACATTTTATTTAAATTCAAATGTTTAAATTCACTTTTTAAGAAAACAATAATTAACAAATGATAAAAAAAAAAAAATTATTATATCTGAATAGGCCAATAAAACCCATAATGTCATGCCAAATAGGTGTCATTAATATTTAAATAGGGGTGGTCAGATGTTAACATGCTCATCGTTGAGACAATTTCTAGTCATTTTTGCAATTAAGTTTGAATAAATGGTCCAGTGAGGAAGCTTTGAATCATGAACTTCAGAGTTTGCCTGTAGAACATTGAGCTCTATTATATCAAAGAGCAAATCCTGTTTTCCATGATATAAGTCCTTTAAAGCGTGTGCTGCAGGTCATCCTATTAACACACAAGCAGCAGTTCCTTTCCTGCTCTCTGTTCCTGCGCTGCACTTCAGGTCTCATCAAGAGTAAGAGTGTAACTCTGAAATGGACTTTAGTCAGTGCTATTAATCTTGTCTTTTCAGCCGTACACTCTCAGCCACTGTAATTACACCACAAATGAGTTCACCTGCAGCCCGCCTTCAATTAACCCACTGCACACATCATACACACCGCAGCAGACAATCACCTGTGTTCTCTATAGAGCTGCCAGCACAGTGACTCTATATTGTGTGTTAGGAATATAGCGGCTGTCTCAAAACCCAGTGAGCTGCATACCGACCTGTTTAAAAAAAGTACACTTTAGCATACTTTTTAAAAATAATACTATTGTTATTTATAAATAATATACATTAAAATACTTTAAAGGAATATATACTTTTAATATAGTATAAAAGAATATAGTAAAGTGTGAAATGAATACTGTATGAATTTAAATGAAATAAAAATGAAAATGAGCTAAATATTAACTCAATATCAGGCTATTCAGGATGTAGGTGAGTTAGTTTCTTCATCAGAACAGATTTGGAGAAATTTAGCGTTACATCACTTGCTCACCTCTGCAGTGAATGGGTGCCGTCAGAATGAGAGTCCAACAGCTGATAAAAACATCACAATAATCCACAAGTAATCCTCACAACTCTAGTCCATCAATTAACATCTTGTGAAGTTAAAAGCTCATTGTTTAACTTCAAGCCATTGTTTTTGGCTTAAATATGGGTCCTCTATCCATAATAGTGCTTTCTCTAGTAAAAGATTCATCTTGTCTGAATCAGGAGAGAACTATGCACGGATAAAGCACTATTTACAAGTGAAAACAGTCCAAAACAGCTCTAAACAAATATGTTGGTGGATTTTGACAATAGAGGATGACATTTATCACAGGAGAAAGCATTATTATGGGTTATGAATTTGTATTTTGGCCAGTTAAAATGCCTTATGTTTATTACAAACACACAGGTTTTTACTTAACAAGACATTAAAGTACACTACAAATACTTTTTCACAAGGGTAGACAGCATTTTTGGTCATCACAGACACATTCTGCTGACTGGAAATGCATTTAAATTCAGCTAGTCTGACTTGGAACATGATATCTCAGAGAATGTGGCTATCATTGCCAGAAATGTTTTGTAAGTCTTAAACTTAAATGTTTGCATTCTAAAGAAAACTATATCTCGTACTCTCTCTCTCTCTCTCTCTCTCTCTCTCTCTCTCTCTCAGAGATGGGACTCCAGGCAGTCAGTCGGTCTCAGAGCAGTTCCACATTGACTGGACGTCAGTGCTGGTCAGTAGTTTTGGGGTTATTGCAGTGCGCTTTGACGGTCGTGGAAGTGGCTTCCAGGGGACTAACTTACTCCATAAGGTGCAGCGCAGGCTGGGAATGTTCGAGGAGAAAGACCAGCTGGATGCCCTCAGGTAGTTGAGGAGCCATCTGCGTCCAACACACAGTGAACATCCATCAGTGCCAACACACAGCTGCACGAGCAGACACATGTGCTGCATCTCCTTAACCGCATAGCAGATTTAGATATACCACGGTCTGACTTCAATGAAACTCAGTGATATGACCGACACTGATTATTCTGCATGTGAGAAGGTCCAGCGTGTGTCAGACCATTAACATTTAGTTTTTGTGTCTTGCAGTATTTTGATGCAGGAGCCATATATTGACAAAACCAGAATTGGAGCTTTTGGGCAGGTAAATACTTGTGGTATTTTACTGTTATTACTTGTCCAGACAAGATAGCTTCCACAGACAAGATAGAGTCCACAGAGCCTGTCTGTATTTTGGCACATCAGTTAAACTCTTCCTCTCTCACTAACTTCAGTCCTGAAGAAGAGCAATCACAAATTGGTGTCATGCAGTAAGAAGAACCTAATTGAGACCATCTACATTTCTGGCTACATAGTTTTGTTTTTGCCCGGGCCTATTTCTTTCCTCGAAAGATTGTCGTTTTTCAAAGGATTAATGAATGCATGTTCAAAGGCTGAATTCCTGCCTCACTTTAATGAGCACAGACCGTATTAGAAACTGTAACTAGTAATGAGAGTTGTGGTATCTCAGCGGTCCAGAGTTGAGTATTTTGTGTTTCAGGTGTATGGAGGTTACGTCACCAGCCTTCTGCTCAGCTCTGAGGACTCCATGCTCAAGTGTGCTGCAGTGCTCTCACCCATCACAGACTTTGCACTATATGGTACGGTTTGTGTGTGTGTGTGTGTTTCTCTTATTAAGACAAATGGAGGGTCACTGTCCTGCAGACTTTAGCTCCAAACAGTGTTGGGAAGGTTACTTTGGAAATGTACTAGGTTACAGATTACAAGTTACCTTATTTAAAATGTAATAAGTAGTGTAGCAATTTCAATTACTTTATTAAAGTAATGTAACTGATTTTCTAAATGTCTAATGAATCTTTTCAACTGCTATCATTGTGAAACATTTAAAGCAGGCTTGGGTTATCCTTACAGTAGGACTCAACACTGATTACTGTCAGACTTTCAAAATACTTCTTCGCTTGAATTAAGCTTATAATAATTTAATTTCAAAGCACAGCCACCACAAAATCTTCAGACTTCATGCCTTCAGCACCTCTTTTTACTTTGAGATCATTCTGAGGTTAAATACAGATTTAAAATCATAACAAGAGACCGTTTAATAGCTATACTATTTCTGAAATCAAATCTTTGCATAGCTATGACAGGAAACACTGGTATCTAACAATGCCTTTGAAAAAAAAGTTAATCAATCATATCTGTATGTGTGTGAAAATATTCAGATGTAACCTCCTTTGTAATCATTAACATTTTCATAAGTAACGGATTACGGTTACATTTATTTTGTAATTAAATTACGTGATTCCGTTACATGTAACTAGTTAGTCCCCAACACTGGCTCCAACACACATGTCTGGAAGTTTCTAGTGATTGGCTTGGCCCTTGATTAGCTGTTTGAGTTGTTTAATTAGAGCTAGAGCTAGAGCTAAAGTCTGGTGGCCCTTCAGGAGCAGGATTAGACACTCATTAGACACTCAAGTACTCATAAAAGAGTAGGCAAAAAGTACCCGGATGACCTACTACAGGTACTTCCAGCGTGATTCTGAATTATGCATACGATGGACACTTTACTGTCCCATGATTCCACATGAGAGGATTTATGAATTGCAGTGACTCGATGCAACTGTCATTGGTAGGTCACGTGACAATTACAGCATGGCAAATTTAATGCATTCAGATTACATTCATACTACACACATTCATACTATATGAAATGTACTCTTTTTGCGGTTGCGATTGACATGTCTTGTGAACTGTTTTTAACCAAAATGCCACCTAAATAAACAAAAATGCCCCACAAATTCAAGATAAAGAGGCAAAAATTGGCCCTGCACAATTAAACTTAATCTATTATAGCTGTCGCGAAATGTGAAATGTAAAATGTAAAATGTGAAAATTAATGAAAAGTGTCAATTCGTGGAATTACGGAATCTGCACACGTTGAATCAGATTACTTATGTTTTGTTTTTTTGCAGCAGCAGCAGCATTGAGCATTATAACCATTCACACACGTTTCTGTTGATATGGCTAATCACAGGCGTTAAGATTAGTCAGCGAGTTTTGCTTGCGCGCTCACTGACTGAATTCTGCACGCTTGCAAATTCTCTCGTCATAAACAACAAATTGCAGATACAATGTAAATAAGAGATTAATTCCGCAGCTTCAGTGATTACAACAAGAGTTTTTGCATAACTTGCACTAGACTGGACTAATGCCATAGACTGACAAGTTTGTTCATAATATAATGTGACATTTCCCCACAAAAAAAAAAAAAGGTTTTACATTTGTATTCTATAAATCAACATTAATAATCATAATTACAATAACAAGAGCAATAATTGACAATTATGTTTGTCTTTTTTTTTTTGTCTTTGTTTTATTGATTTATTTTTATTGATTTATTTATTTTTGCAATTACAATTAGGCTATAACAGGTTGATGTTATTGGTAAGATTTTAAAGTATTCTGATTGATTCAAGAAATTGGTTAAATTTATGCATTTGACATTAAAGACAAATGCAACCAATAAGGCTAAAAAATTGCCCTTACAAATGTAAAAAATGGCCCTTTAGAACAATTCCGGGTTGAAATATTGGAAGTAAATATAAGAGTTTACATCACAGGATATAATTATTGGTTGTTTAATTTTCCTTGCATAAAACATGTCAAATATTAAATATTTAGCTACTTGCATCTTACCTCACGCTCTTGCACTGTTAAAAACTGAAGCGATGTGCTGGTTAACAGTCCACAGTTAACAGCCCACCTTCTTGAGCTGTTAGACCGCTGAGGTGGAGCAGCCTAAAAATATAACTTTTGAAACTTTTTGTCTTCCTAACAACAAAGAGAGCAGCATCAATATTAAATATTAGAGTGGACTACAGCTCCACAGAGAGGAGAATAGAGATCTGTTTGGGTCCATCTGATTCTCAGATGTAGATACAGTATGAATATAACCCTAACCCTAACCCTAAGCTCAAGACATCTGTTGAAAGGATTTGAGCTTATTATTATGTACCAACGACTATAAAAAGAGCAGATTCACATGCATTCTAAATCAAAACATCTGCTGAATGTCCTTTTAACATCCAGCAGGGAACGATTCACAAATGTTTTGTGGAAGATAAAGTACCCTAAAAAATATTTCACCTTGCAAAATACATGCATATGTGTGATATCTATGGAAGCCCATTTCCGCCACTGAATAAAAAATGTAAAAAAAAAAGGTTATTGCGACTTTTTATCTCACAATTCTGACTTTTTTTCTCAGAATTGCGTGATATAAACTCACGATTGCGAGTTATAAAGTCACAATTGCGAGATAAAAACTCGCAATTCTAACTTTTTTTCTCGCAATTCTGACTTTAGAACAATTGCGAGTTATAAAGTCAGAATTGTGTGATATAAATTCGCAATTGCAAGTTAAAGTCCAATTTTTTGGGGGGGAGGACTGATATGTTCTCAGAATTGCGAGTTTATATCTCACAATTCTGACTTTTTTTCTCAGAATTGCGTGATATAAACTCACGATTGCGAGTTATAAAGTCAGAATTGTGAGATTTAAATTCACAATTGCGAGATAAAAACTCGCAATTCTGACTTTATAACAATTGCGAGTTAAAAAGTCATAATTGCGTGATATAAACTCACAATTGCGAGACATAAAGTCGCAATTCTGACTATTTCTCAGAATTGCGAGTTTATATCTCACAATTATGACTTTTTAACTCGCAATTGCGAGTTTATATCACACACGAGTTTTTATCTCGCAATTGTGAATTTTTTTTATTCAGTGGCGGAAACAGGCTTCCATAGATATCATCAGGAATGGGGAATATCATCAAATTTTCCAGCCCCAGCGTATTCTGATTACTTCTACGTTGTTGTAAAACTGGCATTTATGCACTGAGGTGACAGATGCTCTATTTTTAACTTGACGCAATATCTTGAAAATAGTGCAAGATGCTGAAAAAACAGTGAGATGTGATGCAAGATGTCACCAACAACTGAACCGACAATTAAAAAAAACAGTACAGGCGCAATAATGCATCCTGTGCGAATGTCTCGGAGGAGGAGGAGGAGGAGTGTCCGATTCATCATCCATTTCTGTAGCTTCCTGTCTGTGCATGGCGGTGGATCCCATCAGTATTCCGAGAGCAGGCAGGAGGACCGAAGCACTCCAAGAACTCTAAAGAAACAGAGGGATGAAAAATGAAGCATGTGTGTGTTCATCATAAACAATACTTCGCCTCTCACAGCGGCAACAGCACAGAAATCTGCTCATAAGTCAGCCGGTCCATCAGCGTGTATTGTGAAATGGTCATGCGGTGATTTTTATCAAAGGAAATGCTCGGAAATTAACTCTGCCTGTGACAAATGTCACTGTTGACTGATACTGTTCTTCTTTCCTGCTTTCAGCTTCAGCTTTCTCAGAGAGATATCTAGGCCCTCCCAAGCCAGATCGGAGGGCATACGAGGTACATTTCCTGTTTTATAATCTGTATTTTGTATTCACCGTACTGACAACACTTACTGTGTACTCTTTAATATTTCCACAGATGGCCAACCTTGCATACAGAGCGTCTCAGTTCATCGATAAGAAGTTTTTAATCATTCATCCAACAGCAGATGGTACATTTCCTTTCCAATTCTTACAATGTCTTTGTAAAAGCAAGAACACTGTCAACTAACACGCATCTCATTTACATTTTAGAGCAAGTTCATTTTCAGCACACAGCCAAATTCATCTCCAGGCTAATCAGCGAGAGAGCAAATTATACTCTGCAGGTAAGAGATCTTGAGAAGTTTAAGAGAATTTCTTAGTTTCTTCATTTTAGAGGCCATTCACACAGAACGTGGTTTTGTGTTTAAAAAGTGAGATGCATGCATCTTTATTTGATCTAAATTTCCATTAATTTTAAAAATATAATAAATTGTGTATTTAAAAGGTACATACTTTGATACACATTTAAACTACGATTAAGTTTTATTTGCGTACAGTCGGTTGAACCAGCTCCTGGTTGCGCAGTTTGTTCTCAGCATACACTATTTTTTTCTCAGTATACACAATTTTACACTATTTTAATATGTTTTTAGGCCACAGTGTTATTTTAATATCATTGAGAGACTATTATAGTTTTTATTAATGCATTACTTTTTATTTTTAATAAATATTTTATTCTAATTTTAAAGTTTGTCATTTTTTTATTTGTATTAACTTTTTAAATATGTCTATAGTTTTATACATTTTTATTTTAGTTTTAAGTATTTTTGTACATCAAGTTAAACTAAACGAAAATTAGATTTTTCCTTGGCAACTAGCTGAAATAAAAATGTAGGTTTTTGTTTAATTATATAAAATATACATTTATAATTTATAATAATTTATAATAACATGTTTTATGGTTTTAGTTTTAGGTGCTGTATGTATTTTTTAATACCATGATATTTTTGCAAATATTTCGGAAACATGCTAAGTTTACATATTTGTTTCTCTGAAAAACAATGCTACAGCCAGTTTTTCTACTCTGAAATGCGCGTTCCATGTCAGAATGTCTGTTTCCAATATTTTTGAATTTGTATCTCTTGGAATGGCTGATTTGCAACAGATAGTGTAGGCCAGAGTGTGCCACCATTATAAGTTTAAGAGTTATTAATACATGAAGGCCTAATACATGAGATATTCAAGATGAGGCAAGCGTGGTGTTTCAGTCAGAGATTAGTTTATCTTTAACAAACATAAAAATATCATCATCATTTAAAGAATTCAACGATATATTCAAATCAACATGTTAAAAAATAACTATATTTAGTTAAATATAATTAATTTGTATGATGATGTAATCAATAACTATTATAATTCGAAAAGTATAGAATAATGAAGAATAAAAACATTTTTTGAATTTTTAAAAAATATACAGAGAATCAATCAATCAGTCAAATTAGATTACTCACAGTGCTCCATGTGCACTTTTGCTATGAATAACATTCCATGGTAACATTGACTTCTCTAATTGGTTTGAATACAGGTATTGTAGTTCTTCACTGGAAATTCCACAATTAAATACTACTTTTTCTACACTGAATTTGAAAACACCCTTGTGATTTATTCAGAAGCATATATCATCACATAACATCCTCAGAGCTGATGGCAGGAAAGGTTTATACGTCATTGGTAAAAATCAATTTCTCTATGGAGTAAATGAATGGGGGTTTAACTGTACAACCTGCATCCATCTGTGAGCATGACGATGTTTGTCAAAGGTGTGTGAGGTCTGGGGTGACTGGATACTGAGTCTCTGAGCAGCTGCTGCCAGCAGTGGGATTAGACACACTCAGTGCATGCAGCTCATTTAAACAGATTATACAGGCCACTCTCATGAGCCACACGCTGAATAATCCCATTATATTCCCTCACTAGGAGATTTTCTCTTTGCTTTCTGCTCCCTTATAGATTTGCTATTAATTACTGGCTGTTGAATGACTGTGGAATTAATTAGGGCAGATATTCATCGGGATGTGTGTGATCGTCACTGTGTCAAGCTGTTCTTCGCAATTTATGATCTATTAGGAAGTGCCAGGGCTGCCACGCACACAAGGAAAGTTTGTATCATTGCAGTATAAGTTTCTGGATGTTTTCACACTTGGTTTGATTGTTTGGTTCAAACCCATGGTTCAGTACACATTTGTACCACAGTTCATCTCATATCTAACAACACTTCTGAAAATCTAAATATTAACTGAGATGAATTGAGATGTCCAGAAAGTATGTAAATAACAAATTTAATTAATTACTAATGTTGGTCCTATATGGACCAATTTCATTTGTTCACTAACAGTGTCTAAAATTGGGCATACATGCATTACAGGAAAATTCTCATGTTTTTATTTTATTTAGTTCTTTATTTATACATATTTTTTGAAGGTAATGAAAATGTCATTTTCTGTGGTATAAATTATATTTAAAAACCTTTTTGGAATAAAATAAGGCTAATTTCACAATTAACATTTTATGTATCCTAAAAAAAATACAATTAAATAGTATTTTCACACCTTTTGTGTAATTTTACATAATTTTAGCAGTGAAGTGTTGGAGATGATGGTAAAACCATGGGACAGTCGTATTTTTAATTAATTAATTTTTTTTATTTTTAATATCTGTGTGTGTGTGTGACTCACTTTGTTTAGTTTAAGCATATACATATTCATATTTTAGTGGATTTCCATGAATAATGTTTAAAGTCTGATTGTAGTTCAGGGTAAAACAAGGTAATCTAAAAAGTATTAAAAGCAAAAATAATAAAATAAACTGTTTCCAAGTATTAAAAGACATTGAAAAAGTAGTAAAAATAAAACATGAAGGCATGGGTGAAAACAGTTTCCAAGACCTTTATACAAAAAAATAAAATAAGAAAGATAGAAGAAATAGAAGAAGAAAGGAAAAATTTTTATCTGTTTGTTTTAATAAAATCAACCAAATAATCAACCACTGAGACCCCTGGAACTATCCTGCAATAAAAGCACTGAGACATTTCTTATGAATGCTAAATGAAACTCTAAAAATGGTAAACAAATCATAGATACTGATGATTTGACCAAACTTTGATGTCAAACTGACTTACGTTCAGCCCAGAAGATGCAGGGCGAAAGCAGAATCAGGATGACATGTGCTGTTCTAGAGTTCTGTGATATTGGGCTCAATATCATGTCTTGTGTCCTTCATTAGATCTACCCAGACGAAGGACACTTCATTCACAACGAGGGAACGCGGCAGCACCTCAGTCAATCGCTGGTCAACTTCTTCGAGGAGTGTTTCCGGCTCCCGGACCGAGTGTTCGAGGAGGCGCTAGAGGAGGAGAGCGAAGAGGAGGGTTAGTCCACCCGTTCCATGAAGTCCAAGCACAAAGCCAGCTCCTTTTGCCACCTGATATGCAACCCATAGATTTGAACCCTCCAGTTTTCAGTTCCCTCCCGGTGTCGCATGCTGACTCTGAGACCGCCCTGCCTCGTGTTCCTGCCTCGGCTCCCCTTCAGGTGCTCCTCACTATCCATCAACCCTCGACAGACCGCGGCCGTGCAGCACGGCGTGGCATCTGGCTGGCGCCACATCGTCTCGCTCTCCCCTGCAGGCCAGTTAGGAGCTTCTGAAGGAGTCTCTGGTCTGTCCATCTCACGTTGACGAATGAGACGCTGCGATATTAACTGACCGCCAAGCGCGATGGCCTTTGAATCCCTAAGAGCTGTGAGACTCGCAGCTAGACTGAGGGGTCATTCAGTGTTTGATTCAAATAGGTATCTGGTGTTTTGGGCAAAGGGGTTGTTGTCGGGAGAACGTGTCATTTGTGGTTCAAAAGGTCTTCTCGTGTCCAATTGTGCTCGTGTCTGGTATTGCAATGTAAAGTCGCACATGAAAACCATTCACTTGGATATCGATAAAACTTGTTTTCAGTGTTCAAGCGTGTCCGAGTCTTGGAAATCTTGTAGCCTCAAGTGTGTATTTAGATGGTGTTTATTCATTGCAGAAACTTCATCAAGCAGAAGGGGAGCAAAAATGATTCGCATTATTCTCGCAGACCATGACAGTTGTACAAGACTGTTGATCCCACTTCTCAACGTGCGTTTCCTTGAAGTGATGGTCTGTCAGTGCTGAAGAAAGCACTCTATGTTGATTTAGTCACTGTGCCTTATTACGGGAGCGAACAATCGTTTTCGAGGAGCCTCTTTGTGAATATCATCACTCATTCAAGGCTTACGTTGGATTGACTAAAATCCTGTATCTAAAACGCTCTTGTTACATTGTCGATGACATCACGGTATACATTATTGACTGTAATAGCATTGCGAAAACACTGTTATTTTCGTTTGCGCGCGTGTGAGCCAGTGTTGTTTTAGCATCAACAAAAGCAAACTCGCTCGCATTCTGCTAATAGCGGTTTTCCATCCACTTTAAGGATCGGGTAATGGAGCATGAAATTAAAATGTATGATTTCAACATTACCTCGGTATTAAACTAAAGCCCCTCTGAGGCTTTACAGACACTTTGTAGAACATTTGTTAATTCATGCCCAAAACAAATCTGTACATAAAAAGTATAAGTAGGGTAGGAAACACTTCTGTGTTAAAGGGATAGTTCACACAAAAACAACAATTCTGACATTGACTCAGCCCTTGTGGCGTTCCAAACCTGTATGACCGACTTTCTTTTGGAGAAGAAGAAAGAGAAGTTTAGCAGAATGCTGATGTTGTTCTTTCAATACAAAGAACGTCAATGGAGTCATTGAATGGAAACAAGTCTTCAGTGTTTCATAGAAGAAAGTACAGTAGGTTTTCCAGGTTTGCAGTGAGGTTGAGTATATGTTGGCAGAATACGGTCCCTTTAACGCTCATGAAATACAGTACTGTGTAAATGTTTAACATTACAGCGGTGGAATTTTCATTATTTAAGTCACATATGCTATGTTTGTATGTTTTGCACAGTGCTGTATATGAACAGTTATTGGTTGTAACTTTTGCCTATAAAAGCTCTCGAGGATGAACTTTTATTTAGTTTGAATTAAATGTTCATGTTTGATCTTGATGCATTCATAGTGCATGTCGAAAAACCATTTGCAACTCAAAAGCTATTTTTTTAAAACCGTCAAATATCTGCATAGTATTTTTGACGGCTTGAATGTTCCGACCTGCATTTCATTACCGGTAGTTTTGTGAGTGAGATCTCAGTCTTGTCTGCTTGATGTATAAATGTTACTCAAATCTCATTTAAGTCTCTGAATATGTGAGTGTTTCTTGTACATAAAGCGTTTGAAGGTATTTTGTTCTCCCATGTCGAGCAGAGCTCCGGAAGTCATGGTTACTATGAAATCACATGGGACCAAGAGAATGATGGGATTGCTGTTTACTGGCTCAGCAAGAACAGGCATATTTTGACACCTCTCAGAATACAAACTATTTTATCATCACCTTTGTTATGATTTGTTTTCCTCACTTGGAGAAAAGAGGATGAATATGTAAGCAACCAAAATAAACTGAAAGCCTTCAATGTTGATGTCCTGCTTTCTTGTGAATGAAGTAAATGATTGCATTTACATGCATGACCTTAAGACGACGACCTCTAAGGTCATCTTAGAAGGTGTTTTGTTTTATCTGGGTAAGGTCATAAATGGTTGAAATAAAACCCAATCAGCATTATCTACATTTTTGCCTGTTCTCGATTCATCACTGTTTCTGTCAGCTTCTTCAATGTACATATCTATGTTTTACCTAAAAAAAAGAAAAGAAAATTCTATCATCATTTACTCAGCCTTAAGTCATTTCAAACCTTTATGGCTTACTTTCTTTAAAGGGGTCCTATTATGCTCTTTTACAAAGTCATGATTTTGTTTGGGGGGTGTACTAGAACAGGCTCTTATACTAGGTTGTTTGAAAAACACATTGTTTTTCACATATTTTACATTATTACAACACCTCTCTCCCCAGTCTCATAGAAGATATTGTGAAGAATGTTAAGCAAACAGTTGACTCCATTTTATTGAAGAAAAAAAACCAGAGATAGCTCAAAATGTGTTTGACAGAGGAAATGTCATACACATTTGAATAACACGAAGGTGAGTAAATAATGACAGAATTATTACTCAAATATGAACTGTACCTTTAAGAGGATACAACTTTTTTTCCTTGTGGGTTTTATTCATTTGTATTTAAACCTTTAAATAAGACATACTTAGCAACAGCAGCAATACTATATAAGAGCAATAATCAATAAATTGCTATATTTATTAATAATATTCAAAATAATTATTCCACCAAGTAATATTTCACTGTGTAACTGTAGGCTGTTACAATAATTTTGTATATAATCCCTATAAAATAAAACATTTTGTGATACGACTGGGAAAAGGTCAAATATAAGGCTAGTTCGTAACATGAAATGGATTGAAACTATATCCCATTACATTACTGCCACCTTGTGTTCAAATTGACAAAATGCGATTCATGAGCCATAATGTTTGGGGTTTCTTGACAGATGTCACCATCTACTGGACATTAGCAGCTATTTCAGGTCACTGCACTCTCAGAAATGAGTCTTGTATCATAGTTTCTACTTCATCTACAAGCTTGCTGAAGTCAGCCTCACATACTACATGTGAATCATCTCCACTGTCTTTCATGCACTTCATCAGAGCTTCATGCATCTGCTCTCGGCCTCCAATGGTGCAGAGTTTATCCAATTGCTCAACAGGGTCTTGTGGGATACTTTGACACTGAAGGGCTTTTAAAACAGCCGGAGCAAACTTCCCATGGTGTGCAGTGGAGCATATCACAAGCGGGCAGGTTTTGTCATGTATACGATCGGCGACTACTTTACCAACCGCTGTGTGAGTGTCCATTATGTAGCCTCTTGTTGCGTGCACCTCATGTATGGCTCTCAAACAATCATCTTCTGAGCACCAACCAGCTTGAACTTCCAGATTTATCTTCTGACATAAAGTCTCTGATACTTTAAAAAAACGATCTCTTTCTAGATTCAAAAACAGATCTCTGACCAGACTCCCATCCCCGCCGGATGCGTGATGGATGAACCTCTCAAGGTTCGAGGATTTCAGGATATCAATGGCAGGAGAGTTTGAAACCAGCAGCTTCCTTTTGCGGAGATCATACGCTCCACTAGCGATGAAGTCGGATATGACGCAGTTATGATTGGACGCACAGATCACCTTCCGTATGGGAATTCCCATTTGTTTGGCATACAGGGCTGACATGGCGTTGCCAAAGTTTCCAGTAGGGATGCACACATCAATGGGGTCTCCAAATGTCAACGTGCGATTTCTAAGCAGGTCCATGTATGCCGAGCAGTGATAGACCACCTGAGGAAGCAGTCGAGCCCAGTTTATCGAGTTTGCGGTGCTGAGAACCGTGGCATATTCCACAGCTAAATGTCCGATCAAGCTCGAGTCCCCAAACATTTGTTTAATGCTCCTTTGGCAGAAGTCAAAGTCGGACAGGACACTAATGGACTTGGCATTGTCCTCCTGAAATCCTGTCATTTGTAGCTTCTGAATCTCACTCACTCCTTTCTCAGGGAAGAATACAAGCACCCCAATCCTCCTACGGTCACTGTCTTTAAGATTCTGGAAACCGTTTAGCACCGCGCTTCCTGTATCTCCAGATGTGGCCACTAGAATCAGGTAGTTGCACATCTGTGGAAGGCAGTGGGCAAACAGCTGAGACATTAACTGCAGTGCCAGGTCTTTAAAAGAAGCAGTGGGGCCGTGAAAGAGTTCTAGAATGTACTGATGATCAGTGAGGTGCTTTAGAGGTACAACCAATTGATTGGCGAAGTTCTGGCCATAAGCGCGATGCACCATTGAGCTCAATTCTACAGGGGACACATCCATAGGATGGATACAGTTTTCCAGTATGGCCACAGCTCTCATTGCATATGGCATGCTGGATATTCTCAACCATTCAGAAGGTTCCAGTTTGGGGAATCCTTTCTTTGGTACATAAAGCCCTCCATCTGGTGCAAGACCCTCTATGACAGCATCACTGAAGAACTTGGAGTCACTTGACATTTGGCTCCTTGTTGAAATGAACAGCTCTGATTCTGAATCCTCATATCTACCCAGAGTCCTCAGGACTTTATCAGCCACATCCTCCATGGAGTCTCCCGTCCCACAAAGGACTCGTGCATCCAGCCATTTTTCGTAAAACTCTTTCCTGTACTGTAATATCTCTGTCATAGAAACACCAGCATCCTGACCCACAATCCTATTCACCTTCATTCGAGAGAGTCTCTGCATGATATCTTCTGTGTCCACATCCAGATACAAAACCAGTCCGGATCGCTTCAAATGCTGCATGGAATCTGGATGCAATGGATTGGAGCCGGTTAGTGAGATAACACTTCCTGTAGCAGTGAAGTTACATACCGCTTTACCTTCTTCTTCAATGAAACCATCTCCGCCGATCTCAGATAGCTTGTCTGCCACACTCATCCCCCATGTCCTTTCGAGAACATCGTCATCTATATCAATAACAGGCATCCCTAGCCTCTGTCCCACAATACGTCCAACACAGGTTTTCCCTGCTCCAGGAGGACCCATCAGAAGAATGTTTCTCTCACGAGGTTTAGAGATTTGATTTGATAGCCATGCTGAAGTGAAGTATGAAGAACCAAACTGAGAAAATAGCAGGTGGGTCCTCAGCTTTCTCACTTTAGCCAACAGCTGGCCGAAAGTTGCAGGGATCATCATGGAAAAAAAGATCCTATGATCTGTGAGGCAGAAATATGTCACAGAATTAAAACACGCCAGTAGATCTAGTAGAGCATTTACTAAAATACAAAATGTATAGATCTATTTCTGTATTCTGTTGATTCAACCTATTTAGTATGACTAATTTGTTTTAATAAACACTTAGGCCCTTACCCAATTAGCACACTAAGCCCTCGCGGTCTTCCTCTGAGTCCACATATTCTTGAATTTATTTATTCATGCTGTTTTGAATGGTGGGTAGGCTGTGGAGCGCCACAAAGGTGTGCATTGAAGGCGCAAAGGGGGTGCTCGAGAGCACCCTTCTCAACCCTAAAATGACAAATGGGACACCTGCAACAGGAGTCTCCAACCTCAATCAAACACACCTGAACCAGCTTATCAAGGTCCTTAGGGTTACTTGGTAATTATACCCCTTGTCCAAATACCCACACTTGCGGTCTTGGCCACTTGAGAGCGCGTGCGCGCGACAGGAAGTAAGTGCACAAGACTGTCCCAGGTCTTAAAAACGCCAGAGCACTGTGCCCTTAACGCACACTAAACCCACACTATCTCGAATACCGCGCTATTCGAGGCTTAGTGTATCCCATCATGCATCATGTTCTGGAAATAAATCGTGAGACTTTTTGCCGAGATCTCGCGAGAGGTCACGGAAACCTTTCCGATGCAAGCTAAATATTAATATAATAATTAGATATTACATATAATTTGGTAGAAAAACACAGTTTTTACGTTTTATTGGTGCAAAGATGAGTAGTGGTGATATTTATTTTGTACATTTGCAACTGCTTTTTATCACTTAATTAGAAGCACCACAAATTAAAATTATGTCACGTTATAGGGACTACTGAACAGACATTTAGAAGTTGATTTTAAAATGCAAAGTATTTAAAATTTAAATTAAAATAAAGCTATGTAAACACTTGCATTTTTACAACACTACAAGTGTGTCCCATCAGGTAATGAAAAGTTCGACACACACTTGTGGTCTTCATGCTCACTTGAACACTTGGGTCAAATACAGGAAATACGTCATATAAGTAATCAAGTGGTCAAGTGCAAAGACCGCAAGTGTGGGTATTTGGACAAGGCTATATTGGAGCAGGGTTGGAACTAAAGTCTGCAGAAGGGTAGATCTCCAGGAGCAGGATTGGAGATCTCTGCCTTGCGGCCTTGTGGGCTTAACTGACATGTGCATGTGATGGCCATCGTTAGTCTTTTTCTTCCACATTGTGATGTACTTTAGAGTGTAACAAATTATTAAAACTGTAGGGCAGGGACTTGGTTCCACTCATTGAATTCTGAGATGCGGAAAACATATGCATGGATGAATCATTCGCAATAATAAATATGCTTTTATAAAAGGGTTTAAAAAAAGTATTTTTTTTTTTCAATTTCAAACCGAAATGTAAATAGATGCCAGTATTCACCAGAATAAAACAATTCAGTTTGAATAAAATGTTTAATTTAGCTGTATGTCAATTATACAATTGGAATATATATTCAAAAATGACATTTACCTTAAAATGCAAAGAAAAAATAATTCCAATATTGTACAATTCTGTCTAACACTCTGTCTATCATCAGGAGAACATCAGGTTTGAAAGTTAATGTTTTCTGGTAGGATTTCGTAAAGGATTTTCTTAAGTTAGATGTACACAACTATTGTAGAGTTTCAAAAGTAAGGTTTACCAAAAACGCGGCGTTTATCTTACTATTATAGTAACCTCACCTTCACATGCGCTCATGCATGGCGTGGTGCCGTGCCATGTAAACAAACCGCGTCAGTACGGCAACCGCGAAGGGACATTTTCCGTTGACGTGCTGAGCAGTAAACGGCTCTCAATGGCCAATACGGTCACCTTCAAATGATATAAATAAAATAAATATTTAGCATTGCTACATTTTTTTGTTTAAAGCTAGCCATTCAAACTTAAATGAAAACGTAACTGAAATCGCGAAACCTTTGACTAATGCGGAAGAAAATAAAACAAGAGGAAAAGTGTTTCATGTTGCTTGGTAGTGGTTGCTATAGAGACAGTTGTTCAACAACACCGAGTCCATCGGCCATTACGTAAATTAAAAAAAGCACTACTGTCTGCAAACAGCGGGACGTTTTCTCTTGTTTTCCTGTCATTTTTGTCTCTATCAGCCACCATGAGCGACACAATCTATCCTCCAGAGAGCATCTATAACCTTATTCCCAGAGAGGAAGAGAAAGCCGTGAAAGCACCCAGGTACAGTTCCAAACTGCTTTCAAATCATGATCTCTTCATCTAAAATATCACATTCTTTGATATTTTAGAAAATAATTTAATTGTACTTTTTTTTTTTCGGTTTGAAACGTGAGAAAACATAATTTTTCATTGTTACAATTAAGTGCAATTCCACAGTTCTCATTAGCATAATGTGAAAATGATATTATTAACATTGATATGTTGAAATTGTGAAGTATTTGAATGCATTCAACTTGCTTTAATTCCCATAAAGTATATTATATTATATGAATTTTCAGGTACATGTCAAAGTTCCGAGAGCAGGTGAAGCTGGAGAAAGAGGTGAACAAAGCCCCCAGTAAAACTATGGGACCAGCAAAAGTGGATGTGCCGTCACCACAGAAATATCTACTGAAACACTCCAAGGAGCCCAAACTCGCCGAGAGTACATGTCCTGCATTTGGTGTTTGAGACATTCTGAGAATTAATATATAATATTGACCTTTTTAAATACAAATACATATATTTTCATTGCAATCATACATGCCAATTTCATGTGCGGAGGTGTTGAGACCACTGAAGCTATCTACTATGTACGTATCCTAATTTTGCTTGGATCATTTATTTTTCAGGGAAACCTTTTAAATATGAAGATGATGAGCTACATAGTAAACCACCGATACCTGCTAGAACAGACAAGCCGCTCATGGGTCTCCACAGCAACAAGAACTTTATTAAGACCAACGCTGTAGAGAACATCATGACAGTCCCGAAGAAACCGCAGCCTGTGTATGCTTATACCAAGAAGGGAGACAAACAACTGTTGGAGAAATCTGGTCTCATCCCAAAATACATAAAGAAGAAGGTGAGAAGAGAGATGGGATGTTGAGCTTCATGTTTCAGATGCTCTTGTATTCCATGCATACAAAGCATACTGTTCACGGTACATACTGAATAGAGCAAAAATAGTAAGGAAAAACCTCGGGCCTATTTTTTATGCATGTTCTCAGGACTATGGCCTAACTCCAGAGTACCTGCTCCAGCGCAGAGAGGAAGTGAAGAAAGCACAAGAAGAATATGACAACTATGTCAAGGAGCGAATGAGAGAAGGGGCCATGAAACAGCTTTCAGGTGAAGAACGCCACAATATCCTGCAGGTAATCAAATACAAATAAACTCAGATTGAATCAGTTTCTAGTTGTGTACAGCCTGTGTTCTCTAGAGCTTGTTATTGCAGATCTTGCAGCATTAATCTCCTGATGAGAAATTGCATGTCTTTGTAGTTGTTCCTTTAGATAAATGTATGAATAATGTTATATGAATAAATGGGCATAACCTTTTTTTTTTAATTAGGATTTAAAAAATAAAATGTAAATGATTGTATAAAGGAACTTGTATACACTATAACTTGTGTAGAAACAATGTTCACTCCGAAATTGCCAATATTGGCCTATAGCCAATTTCCCAAACAGTTTCAAAGATTCATCTAAAATATCACATTCTTTGATATTTTAGAAAATAATTTAACTGTACTTTTTTTTTCGGTTTGAAACGTGAGAAAACATCATTTTTCATTGTTACAATTAAGTGCAATTCCACAGTTCTCATTAGCATAATGTGAAAATTATATTATTAATATTGATATGTTGAAATTGTGAAGTATTTGAATGCATTCAACTTGCTTTAATTCCCATAAAGTATATTATATTATATGAATTTTCAGGTACATGTCAAAGTTCCGAGAGCAGGTGAAGCTGGAGAAAGAGGTGAACAAAGCCCCCAGTAAAACTATGGGACCAGCAAAAGTGGATGTGCCGTCACCACAGAAATATCTACTGAAACACTCCAAGGAGCCCAAACTCGCCGAGAGTACATGTCCTGCATTTGGTGTTTGAGACATTCTGAGAATTAATATATAATATTGACCTTTTTAAATACAAATACATATATTTTCATTGCAATCATACATGCCAATTTCATGTGCGGAGGTGTTGAGACCACTGAAGCTATCTACTATGTACGTATCCTAATTTTGCTTGGATCATTTATTTTTCAGGGAAACCTTTTAAATATGAAGATGATGAGCTACATAGTAAACCACCGATACCTGCTAGAACAGACAAGCCGCTCATGGGTCTCCACAGCAACAAGAACTTTATTAAGACCAACGCTGTAGAGAACATCATGACAGTCCCGAAGAAACCGCAGCCTGTGTATGCTTATACCAAGAAGGGAGACAAACAACTGTTGGAGAAATCTGGTCTCATCCCAAAATACATAAAGAAGAAGGTGAGAAGAGAGATGGGATGTTGAGCTTCATGTTTCAGATGCTCTTGTATTCCATGCATACAAAGCATACTGTTCACGGTACATACTGAATAGAGCAAAAATAGTAAGGAAAAACCTCGGGCCTATTTTTTATGCATGTTCTCAGGACTATGGCCTAACTCCAGAGTACCTGCTCCAGCGCAGAGAGGAAGTGAAGAAAGCACAAGAAGAATATGACAACTATGTCAAGGAGCGAATGAGAGAAGGGGCCATGAAACAGCTTTCAGGTGAAGAACGCCACAATATCCTGCAGGTAATCAAATACAAATAAACTCAGATTGAATCAGTTTCTAGTTGTGTACAGCCTGTGTTCTCTAGAGCTTGTTATTGCAGATCTTGCAGCATTAATCTCCTGATGAGAAATTGCATGTCTTTGTAGTTGTTCCTTTAGATAAATGTATGAATAATGTTATATGAATAAATGGGCATAACCTTTTTTTTTTAATTAGGATTTAAAAAATAAAATGTAAATGATTGTATAAAGGAACTTGTATACACTATAACTTGTGTAGAAACAATGTTCACTCCGAAATTGCCAATATTGGCCTATAGCCAATTTCCCAAACAGTTTCAAAGAAATGGCAAGTAGCACGTTAAATGAAATGTGAAATTTTGAAGTAGAAGGACTGAAACAGTATTTTCTTGTAAAACACACTCTGATAATATTAGCAACAATAATAATGTTTTTAAATAAGTATGTTATACTCACAAAGGCTGCATTTATTTAAACAAAAATACAGGTAAAACTGTAATATTGTGAAATATGGCATTACAATTAAAAATAACATTTTCCGTTTTAATATATTTAAAATGCCACTTATTATTGTGATGGAAAATCTGAATTTTTAGTAGTCTTCAGAGTCACATGATGCTTCAGAAATCATTCTAATATGCTGATTTGATGTTCAAGAAACAGTTGCTGCTTAATATTTCGTTGGAAACTGTTACTTTTTTATCAAAATAGAAAGTAGCATTAAAAAAAAATTAAAAGAAAGAAAATAAATATTTTGTAATAATTTATAATAATTTAATTAATTTAATAATAATTGTATAATTAATTTAATTGAATTCATAATTTAATAATAATTTTTATTTTTATTTTTTTAATTCATATTATTAAATTTTATTATAGGGCTGGACAATAATTCAATATCAATATGTATCGCGATATAATTTTTTTCAATAACGGTGATATGATTGGGACGAGCTTCATCACCAGTACCAAGGCCTCTCTGTTGTCACAGACACAGCTCCAAAAAAATATAGGAAGGAGCGTCTGGAGCAGGAAATGAAGCAGCTGGAGAAAGATATTGAACTGATTGAGCGACACAAAACCATCTACATTGCTAATAACTGAGCATGATGTTAGCTAGTGAACTAGCCCTGAATTCAGCAAATATCCAAGAACAACATTTGAAACGGGCAAAACTGCCACAGTGTCTTTGCTTGTCCTCTCTTATGGTACTTCAGAAATATTTTGAAAGGCTTTTGAAGAGCTTTACAACAATACGTCTGAGTGCAATAAAGATCACTTTAGATCAACTCAATAGTCTCTGAGCGATTTAATCCATTTAAACTCAACATGAAATCAAAATGAACCACATTTATTTTCTTAAAGGGGTCAAATGATGCGATTTAAATTTTTCCTTTCTCTTTGGAGTGTTACAAGCTCTTGGTGCATAAAGAAGATCTGTAAATTTGC